ACTTAAATTCATTTTTTTTCTTGAAACAGTTTTATAATTCGTTTTGTTTTAAATTTAAATATTTGTTTACAATAAAAAAAGAAAAACTGACAAGGGTTAAAAATGGGTGCAATACTTTCTTCACTTTCAAAACTTTTTGCTACTAAAAAACCATACTCTATTTGTATGATTGGTTTAGATGCAGCAGGAAAAACTACTATCTTATATCAAATGCAAGTTGGAACAACCACATCAACACTTCCTACAATTGGTTTTAATGTTGAAAAATTTCATGTAGGAAATGTTGAATTTAAATGTTGGGATATTGGTGGTCAAGATAAAATTAGAAGAGTCTGGTCTAGTTATGTTGAACTTTCAAATGGAATTGTTTTTGTTGTTGATATTACAGATGAAGCAAGATGGGAAGATGCAGGATATGAACTTAGAAATATTCTAGAAGGTAATGAACATATGCCATTATTGATTTTGGCAAATAAAGCAGATGATCCAGAAGATCCAGATTTACCATTAAAAGAAAAGAGAATGTTAGAAGCATTAAAAGTTGATGAAATTAAGAACCTTTATACATGTAGGAATGTTACTGCAATTACTTCTGGAACAGATCATAATCCATTAACAAGATTACTGCCTGCATTTAAATGGATGGTTGAAGCACTTGAAAATGGAGATACTGGTAAAGTAAGACAAGAATTATAAGAAATGAACGATTCCTTCTAACGAAATATTTTTAAAAATTACTTTTTGAAATCTTTTTAAAAATCACTTTTAACTTAACAGTGGTGGCTCATCTTTTTTAACTTAACAGTGGTGGTTGATCTTTTTTAACTGAGCAGTGGTGGCTCATCTCTTTTCAACTGAGCAGGTGGTTGATCTTTTCAACTGAGCAGTGGTGGCTCATCACTTTTCAACTGAGCAGTGGTGGCTCATCTTTTTTAAACTGAGCAGTCAGTGGTGGTTCATCTTTTTAAAAATCACTTTTAACTGAGTCACCTCTCATCTTTTTAACTGAGTCACCTCTCATCTTTTTAACTGAGCAACCTCTCATCTTTTTTAACTGAGCAACCTCTCATCTTTTTTTAAACTGAGCCACCTCTCATCTTTTTTAACTGAGCAGGTGGTTCATCTTTTTAACTGAGTGATGGTGGCTCATCTTTTTAAAAATCACTTTTAACTGAGCAACCTCTCATCTTTTTAACTGAGCAGTGGTGGCTCATCTTTTTAACTGAGTGATGGTGGCTCATCTTTTTAAAAATCACTTTTAACTGAGTCACCTCTCATCTTTTTAACTGAGCCACCTCTCATCTTTTTAAACTGAGCAGGTGGTTAATCATCTTTATCACGGTATGATCATCATTGTTTGAAATAATTTGTTATTTCTTTATAATTTGATTTGCCTGTGTTTTTGACCTTTAACTTTTAAAATGTCTGAAGTTCACTGATTTTTATAGAAATTTTATTTTTATTCGCTGGTAATATCCAATTAGACGCAATTTCTTTTGTAATTTTTATTTTGACAGAGAAAATTTGTTTAACCCTATAAATGAGTGAAAAACGGCTTCTTATAATATTTGGTGCTTCTGGTAATCTCAGTCAATATAAATTATTACCTGTAATACTTAATGATAAATTATATAAAGATGGTAAAATTGTGTTATTTTCTAGACATCCACCATGTGAAAAATTGGTTGAAAAAATTAAACTAGAATCAAATAATCAATTACAAATAGAAGTTAACGATTATTCTGATACAACAAGAGTTCTAGAAATTTTAGAAGGTCATGATAATCCTGCAATATATTTAGCACTACCATCAAAGATTCATATCTATATTATGAAAACATTAGATTCTTTAAATATAAAAATGTCAATTTATGTTGAAAAACCACATTTTATGTCGGCTGAAGAAGTAAAAATTGCACAAAATTTTAAAAATTTATCGATGTTTTTGATCGATCATTTTCTTTTGAAAAAAACACTTATTTTATGGAAATGTTTACCAAAAAAGTTTAGGGAAAATCTGATAAATATTGATGAAATTGAAAATATCAGAGCAGCAGCAACTGAAACTATCTCTGCAGAAAATCGTATATCGTTTGATCTGGATGGTATTTTACGTGATATGATTATTTCACATTTATTTGCACTTTATAAAACGGTGTTACCAAATGGTAATCTAGAAACACTTAAAGTGAAAAAAGAAGTACTAAAAGGACAATATGAAAATTATGAATTTAAAGGTTCACAAACACCAACACTTTCTTACATAATTCTAGAATCAGAAAAAAATTTTGATGTTGAATTATTTGCTGGTAAGTCACTTTCTAAAAAAACAACCTTTTTTGATATAAAAATGAAATCAGGGACACTTTCTTTACAATTTGCTCCAGAAACTGACATTTTATTTAATGGAAAATCTGTGATTGATAAACAAACTTATGAATCATATTTTAAAGAATTTCATTCTCTAGAAGGATATAATTTGTTGTTATATTCGATTATACATAGAAAAACAATTCCAACATTTCCAATAGAATCACTTTTATACGGTTATAAGGTAGAAAATGATCTTAAAAATCTTAATACTGAAATGATTGTTTATAAAAAAGGTGTTGACATTTTTGAGCAAATGAAATAAAACATTTTGAATTTAAAAA